TGGCTATATTCTTTCTTGCACATTAGCCCAAGCGCTATTTGTTGAGAAAATACTGTAGCATTTATTTGAAACATATGATACAAGACTTGTACATAATCATAAAATGACTATGCATCTATACCAGGCTTCCCCAAACTTCAGCCCTAAAGATGTTGTTGAACTACAACTCCCATGATTCTCAGCGTATCTATTTCATTCATAGAATCATGGGAGTTGTAGTTCAGCAACATCTGGAGGGCCAGAGTTTGCGGAAGACTGATCTATACTAACAAATGAAATTAAAAAAAAAAAAATTTACTCAGTTTAAATGTTACAGTAAAGTGATTCTATAGTGCAGCAGGAAAACAAACTAGTTTCCCCAAACTTCAGCCCTAAAGATGTTGTTGAACTACAACTCCCATGATTCTCAGCGTATCTATTTCATTCATAGAATCATGGGAGTTGGAGTTCAGCAACATCTGGAGGGCCAGAGTTTGCGGAAGACTGATCTATACTAACAAATGAAATTAAAAAAAAATTTTTTACTCAGTTTAAATGTTACAGTAAAGGGATTCTATAGTGCCAGCAGGAAAACAAACTAGTTTTTCTGGCCCTATAGATTTCCTCTCTGCCAAGGCCCCCTCCCGCAGCACTGAAGGGGTTAATAATCCTTTCACGCACTTGCCGTGGGGGAGACCTAATGCGCATGTGCGGCAATAGCCGCTCTCGCATTAGGATCTCCCCATAGGAGAGCATTGTTCAATGCTATCCTATGGGTAAAATCTGACGCTGGAGGTCCTCATGCAGAGTGTGAGGAAGTCCAGCGTCAGATAATGGTCCAAAAGTCTGTTTCAATTCCTGAAGTCCCTCTAGTGGCTGTCTGGTAGACAGCAACTAGAGGAGGAGTTAACCTCAGAGGTAATTATTGCAGTTTATGAAAACTGCAATAATTACTACTGCAAAGTTAAGGGTGATTGGAGTCGGCACCCAGACCACTTCAATGAGCTTTAGTCACCTTAAAAACACTTACATTAGTACAGATGGATACAGGAAAAGGTGGTTTTGCGCACACAATGGATGCTTGATAAGATAATCTGTAACATAGACAGCTATCGTAGGGCAATATGCATAAACCAATAACTGGTATAAAAAATGATTAGGAGCACTCACACTTTAGAGAGCCATATAAGTCGGCTCTCTACTGTAGTAGCAAGTAGAATACTCTGTACTGTAATTGGAATGGTCCCCCAGGAACAAGAATCTGTCTCAACCCGCAGTTTTGTCAACAGAGCCACGAGAAGTGATATCAGAACAACTGATCAACGTTTGGTTTTGGTTTTAAACACTTTTATTGTTGTGATTTGATGGAAAATGACAAGCATTAAGGTCACAAGTAGAGCAGGATAAGGCAACAAGATTTTACTTAAAAATAGTACAGCAAAAAATAGGTAGAACAGAACAAAACAAAACAAAACATGTTCTCTCACGCATCCTACAGAAAATTCGGGTTTAATGTAATTAGAGGAAATTATCACTTTTGTAAATAAACCATGTTGCACCACCCTGGCTGTCAAGACAGCTGAATGATCCTATACTTCCTAGTTTGGTCAGCTCAGTGGAGCTAAACTCAAGAGGCAGCAATTGCCCAGGCGGGCACCTGCCTTGCAAAGACTTCACATTGAGCTGCATTGTAAAGTCTGTGATTGGACAGCCACAGCAAGTCTGGGCAGGGTTAGAAGAGGAGGGCTTGCAAAGGTTGTAGAGAACGGAAGCTTTTACAAGCCAAATTTTTTTTTTTTTTTTAATTCTTTATTTTTGTATTCAGCTGACAGGCATGAGATTTCAGGACATGCAAACATTTGTTGTAAGCGGAGACATGTACATCTCATTAAGATAAAACTGCTATCTGTGCCACCTACTATGAACTGAAGTTTTTGTGGTTATGTTCTGAGTTATACTAAAGGATAAACATCAAAGACTATGTCCCATGTAGTCATATGCCGTTTGGGCCTCGCTAGGCAAAGGGGGTTATAAATCTCAAAACTTTGCTGTCTATGGGACGTATCACTATTGTGTTTAGAGGCTGAACCAAAGGGACTAGAGAGTTTCAGAGGGTTGTTAGCACAGGACTAGCACATTTTTGGCACAGTGCACTTTATTTGTATTTTATGATTTTACGTGTTACACTTTTCGTGCATATTATATTGCACTTTGAAGTCTATAGTAATAAATTATAGTCTTAAAGACACAGTGAACTTTACTGTTGTTAATATGGGTACATGTGTTTAGAGCTTTATATACATTGTATGGTGCAGCTTTTATATTGGCTTTAGTTTGCTAATAGTTTTTAGCACCCTAGTTTCACTTGATTTTTTTATTTTTTTTACACATTAAATCCATGGATACCTGTCTGCTGGGCAATTTTGAGTGGTCCAAAGTATTAGGTGAGCTGTTTCCACGCTGGAAGCCATTGCTGCAAACAGCTCTTTAAATAGGCATTTAAATGCCTACATAGAGATTGCATTGTTGTAGCAGAATGGAGAACTCTAAATACTTTTGTGACGGAACCTACACCTATTCCTATACTTTTCCCTTTTGATTTAGCATGTTTCACCCTTTTTCCGTTCGGGAGACTTCATACGAACAGAATCCATTCATCTCCCGAACATGGACCACCCCTGTATCCCATTAGAATGTTGACACCAACCACTTAAGTGCGAAACCGCAAGGGAAGTAATTAATGAATGCTCCCCAGAGTGGCCGCTATTTTGTATAACCAAATTCGTGGCAGACAAAAGAACGATGGCCATCTGGTCTCCCAAACGTGGGCAGCGGTACTTGGTCATTGAGTGCTGGGAACCCTTTTCGGCTAGGCACTCGTGCGAACACCAGTAAAACTTATACCACTGCCCGTTCTACTTCCAGACCACCTATATGAACGACGTTCGGGAGATATGAACTACTGGGGGGAGCATTCGTATACTGAAATGAAGAGATTCCCTTGGATGGTGTTCGCACAGGAACCTCACGAACGGAGACCTTCCAGGGCACCTACTTCCCTGGAACTGTTTTGGGCTAGCGCATCGTGCCTGGCCGGTCAAAACTTTACCCCAATGGCATTTCTGTTTCACTGAACCGATCTTAGTGATTCTTGGATATGTTATACACTCAGATCGGGGCTATTGGGGAATGTACTTTTTGTGGGGGTTTCCTATGTATGGTGGGGGCACAGTATATTTTGTTGGATTTCTGTACCTGAGAGATAATTAGAGGGTTTTTCTCACGCAATTATCTCTCAGGCACAAAGGATCCTTGGATTGAAACCCCTGTTTAATTGTATTGTAAACCCCTTGTAGGGGACTGGGCATAAAAGCCACGTGTGACCAAATAAAGTTCAGTTGTACTCCCAGAACTGTGTATCAACCAGTTGCTGGGGAGGAGGTGGGATATTTTTTGGGGGGCGTTTTTTTCTTATTCTTGATTGTACTTTGGTGGATCCGGCGGAAAAGAGTCACTGCTACGACTAGGGCTCCGCTACACTTGTGAGCTGGGTTACACCCATACTCACACCACTAACCCCAGGTCTCAATGGATATCTGGAGTTCCTGTAAGTCAGCTGGGGCCATTTTTACTAAATGTAATTCTGAAAACGGCCAGTAGATGGTGACAATATACCACTATCTACTGTGTTATATAGTAAAACCCATTTCTAATATCAGAATTGATTTTAGCAGTGGGTTACCTAAGTTTTAGGGTTATATTCTTTTAAATCTTTCCAGTCTCTCCCTCGCCAGTCTGGAGTACACACATGTGCTTGGAACTGGCGAATTGGTCCAGCCTGTTTTGTAACTGGAGTGCACACAACCAAGGACACCATCAGAAATTGTGGGCCCCCTAGCACAGCTCAAGGTCTGGGCCCCCTAGTTGCCCGCCTCCAAATCCCACCCACAGGAATACACACACACACACACAGACAGACACAAAAGGACACAGACATAGAGGAGATGCGCGCACACACACACACTGACATATGTACATACTCACATATACATACTGACAAACTGACATACATACACACATAAACATACAGATTGATAGACATACTGACATACATACGTGCATGCATCCTGACACACACAGACATACATACTGACACACACATACGTGCATGCATCCTGACGTACACACACACAGACATACATACGTGCATGCATCCTGACGTACACACACACAGACATACATACATACTGACACACACACACGTGCATGCATCCTGACATATACACAGACAGACATACATACTGACACACACATACATACATACTGACATAAAACACAGACATACATACGCGCGCACATACACTAATAGACATATACATACTGACATACACACATACAGACATGCATACGCACAGACATGCATGCATACTCATACATACACACACACACATACATACATACATACTGATAGATATATACATACATGCTGACATACATGCAGACACATACATATACACACACCTCATTTATCAGCCACCCTCCTCTTACTTACCTTTTCGTTGCAGTGTGGCTGGGGATGATGGGAGCAGATGCCTCTCCTCGGCTGTCTCTCCCTCCCGCGTGGAGTAAGCTGGGAGGAAGTGACCGGCCGTCACTTCCTCCCAGGAGCACTTACGGTGCAGCTGCAATTTTTTTTTTTAAAGGGGCCTGGCCGCACTATTACACGGCCGCAGCGCTGACCGGGCCCCTGTAGATATAGGGCTCATCGGGTGGCCCTAAATGCTTGGGCCACCTGATGGGCTCTGGCGCAGATGCACCTGCAGCAGTTTTGATGCTCCACGTGTGGCCTGGGCAGCCAGGTGTACCAATTCCAGTTCCCTTTTTCAATATTTAAAGGGACCAAGACATGCCATATATTTCCTTTTAGTCATGACAAAACCAAAAAGGTCTGCACATTAAGCCATTAGAATCCTCTCTGCTCAAGCACAAAAAAAAAACATTTCTGATTACATTTACAATGTGTTGTATTTGTGTATTTACATAATAGCCATTCTTTTATTTTATATTTTTATTTCACAAAATTTGCATTGAGACCATTTAGAACAATTCAAATGATGATTCTTCATATTTAAATTCAAATCATTACAGTGCACATTTTGCTTGGTAGCACAGCCACCAATAATAAAATTACTTTTGGTTGCCCAAGGCTAGCTCATCATCAAGTGAGGAATATTTAAAAAAAAAAAAAAAATGTGTGTGTGTGTATATGTATATATATTATTTTTACAAATATAACTGGAGCGTATTTCAAGCTCCATAAGATACTGATTTCCTGCTTCCTTTCTATTCCTAATTGTATGCATGGTTTTTGGTCAGATAAGCATTATTTCTGACAAGAGAACTTAGCTATAGTTGCCCCCACAGACAAGGATTTATACAGAAAACCGCTGCTAGGTTTAGCAGCAGTTGGGTAGAGAATTGTATAATCTGAACCAAAACGGCCGCTCAACTAGATAAAAAAAAAGCAGCATTTCTCACAAAATTCAATATAAATCATTAAAACAGATCATTAAGTTTCATTAAATGTAATAAACTTCGGGGAAAAAGTCAAAGTTTGATGACAGTTGTCCTTTACATGTAACTGGGTTTCCTCTCTTTTAGAGGCCCAGGAATGTACCATTAAAGGACCACTATAGGCACCCAGACCACTTCAGCTTAATGAGGTGGTCTGGGAGCCAGGTCCAGCTAGGTTTAACCCTTTTTTCTATAAACATAGTTTCAGAGAAATTGCTATGTTGATGTTAGGGTTAATCCAGCTTCTAGTGGCTGTCTCATTGATAGCCGCTAGAGGGCTTCCGCGCTTCTCACTGTGATTTTCACAGTGAGACGACGCCAGCGTCCATAGGAAAGCATTGTGAATGCTTTCCTATGGACTGACTTAATGCGCGCGCAGCTCCTGCTGCGCATGCGCATTCAGCCAAAGAGGAGGAAAGGAGGCGGAGAGAAAGAGGAGAGCTCCCCGCCCGGCGCTGGAGAAAGAGCTAAGTTTAACCCCTTCCTTCCCCCAGAGCCCGGCGGGAGGGGGACCCTGAGGGTGGGGGCAGCACGAGTGTTTTCCTGGCACTATAGTTGTCCTTTAAATTAGAAAGACTGCATTCAGTTATATAGTACAATATCAACAAATATTAAGCCAAACTATGTAATTACCATAAAGATAAATGTCAGCAATTTTGTCTCATACTAATGTTGAATTATTCAAGTCTCCCCAATGAAGAACGTGTGGTTTGGAATTGCTCTATTTCAATGACCAATGATTTGGACTAAAGAGTGCACTGAGTCGTACAGAACACCACCAGCAAATTAACCCCAAACAATGTAATTGCCATTAAAGTAGGGGAAATTCAGTTAATACAAAATTTTAGTATCCCTAAGTAAAATGAATGTAACTACAATGTAAACATATTGAAATTCCAACACAGTCAAAAGATCTCATAATTCTGAAGCTCTAGGACTTGGAGAAAGAAGACAACTCACCATGGCTGCACCCATGGGCCATCACAGCCTGAGCATCGATGTCACCATCGGGGGTCTTTGCAAAATGTACAAAGACCCCAGAAGGTGACAGAGCCACTTTAACATGTCACTCTCTCACCCAAGATAGCATACACATTCACTCTGTCACCATCTATTGTCTTGAGTACTAAAGAGCTTTTTCTACTCACCTTCCTGACACCCAAATGAGATCTTTAAAATTTCTTTGTGGACCCATCTCATCAGCCACACTGTTCTAACCTGCATTGTTCTACTTATGAATGAAGGCTGTCCACCTCAGCCACACGCTTCTAACCCGCATTGTTCACATATTTAAAAAAACTCACAAATGGATTTCAACCCTTCCCCCTTAAAATTCACCCTCAAAAACTTTCACCATAATATCTACAATATAGTCAATGTCTTTCAGCTGTTTTGATCCACTGTAATCGTGGATAGTCTGTATCTTATGATGCACTGTGTCTGTAGGCAAGGATCTGACAACTTGCTGTATCAGTTGTTTCTGTTACACTCTGTTTTATCATCACTGTATGCAAAGTTAGAGTTTGCTGACCCCAAGTAAGGAAGAACAATGACACGTGGTGATTTTTAGTTCTTGAGTTCAGTTCACTTGGCACATTCTTACATCCACAGGAGAGATAGCTCGGTAAACACACCCAGTATAACACGGCATTGTCCAGTTTCCACCCTTATTAAACACCCTTTTTGGAACGGCCAGCCAGGAAATGGCTACGGATAAAGTGGATCAGTTTGCTTTCTGACAGTACAATAGTACAAGCAGTGATTGAGATACATGTAGTGCCTACAAGAATATGAGCCACACGGAGCAGCCAACCTTGATCACAGCAGAATAACACCTGAAAATGATCAGAGAAGCACTGTTAGTTGAAATGTATACCTTGCTGCAAAATCAGATATAGGTGACCGCTTCTTCACCATGAAATAACCCCCTTCCTTCCACAGGTATCCTGCGGATATTTTACACATTATGTGAGTAGATTTGTTGTAGAGCTGTATTTTTGGAATGTCTGTAGTTAAGGATATCACAGTTACTAGAAGAAACTGCCCTATTATTAAAGACTCTCCACTAGTGATGTCCCGAACGGTTCGCCGCGGACTCATCATTGAGTAAACTTTGACCCTGTACCTCACAGTCAGCAGACACATTCCAGCCAATCAGCAGCAGACCCTCCCTCCCAGACCCTCCCAGCTCCTGGACAGCTCACTAAGAATGCAGCTTCAAAATGGATGCTTTCAATGATGAGTCCGCGGCGAACCTTTCGGGACATCACTACTCTCCACTGTAAGTCTAGGGTGAACATACATCTGTTTCTCTTTTACTCCCTTTTCCCTTGACTATGACTCTATATTGATTCTTTTACAGTGATTTCACTGCACTGGACACGTGTTACAGAAATGTATTATCCGTACAGTACAACTGCGGAACAAATGTTATAACTTAAGCAACCCTTTGTCCTAAAGGCTTTGCTACCGGGTGTAAAGTGGACACTATAATTTAATTTTGGTACTGACTAAGTGTAGAGGACAGCAGGGCAAAGGGATGAAACTTTGGTTCATAAACCACTAACAGGCAATGGTTGGTACATCAAAATCAAATAAAAGCACCAGATACAGTATTGTGTGAAGTATTTGCAAAAGCAATTGTAAAATAACCTGGCGGGTATTTATTGGTGCAAGAAACCAGATATATGTTGGATACATGATACTAACAGTGTGGGATTTAGTATATAAAAGGTTAATATCAATAGGACACCGTTACCTTAACTGGGGATGTGTCCATCCCTAAATCATAAGTAGATGGAGGGTCTTTCATAAGATCTGTGAGAGCCTGGCAGAGGCTGAATATATATATATTTAGAACATTTAGTGTAATAGCTGTGGTTAGTGATAGTACTCGGGCTCCTTTAATCTTAAACATGAATTAATGCATAGCAGCTGCTGAGAGCAAAATCTCAGACATCTGGGTTGCCCAATCGGCAGTTATACAGATATGGTAGAACTACAACTCCCATGATGCTTTGCATGCCTTTTAGAATGACAAAGCATCACATGAGTTGTAGTTCTACAACATCTAGAGATCTACTTATTGGGCAGTGTTGCCCTACACACTGGTAGGCAAACCCACAATACAGGGAATAAGGCACAGAGGACACCACACACCAGAATAGAGATTGAAAGCATGATCATGAGTATAACACAAATACCAGCACTAAAACTAAATCTAGTCTTGAGGTGTGTATTTGTATAAGGGGAAAATAATCATGTGATCCTTAGTCAAAATTCTGATGTGTCCAAAACGCCTCAATGGCATTATTTTCCGATAATACATGTCACATACACAAAGACAATAGAATATAAACAGAATGATCCAAAATTCTGACCACTCCTTAAGAATAGTCTACACCCTATGTAAGAATTTCTATATGGCTATAGCTACAAGAACAGGTTTTGTGCTTACCTCGGAATATCCAGTTAAAGCAGTGCTGATGCCCAACATACAGATGACTGTAGGGGATGGAAGGAGACCACGCAATGGTTGGTAAGGGCTTCCCTTGAAATATTTCCTGATATAAAGCACACTATGTGCAATCCGGAGACCCATGTTGAAGCAGTTTGCCAGGATGAAACCTACGCTTCCCAACCAAACGGTCATATAATATGAGAGGCAAAGGAAACTTGCAGACAGACCCAACATGACATAGTTATACCTGAAAATGTGAAAAAAAACTATTAAAAGACAGGTAGGTTTAAGTGCCAGCATATAATGTCCCAACCTACACAGGACTGGGAGGTACATTCCCAGCCAACAGCTGCTAACAATAATTCAACCGTCTTTGCAACTAATGCTACTTTAGGGATGATTCTAATTTGAAGGGGACAGGGAAACTCAGATCTAGTGCAATATCATTTTTTATTCAAACTTTATTTCTCTTTTCCCCCTTCCCACAGTCACACAAAACAATTTAACCCCTTAAGGACCAAACTTCTGGAATAAAAGGGAATCATGACATGTCACACGTCATGTGTCCTTAAGGGGTTAAACAATAACAAACACAACACAAAAAGAAATAAAAAATCTGGTGTAATAATAAAACATGCAGTTCCAGGTCACCATTTAGCAATGATTCCACCTCAAAGATTTCCTCTAATCTTCACCCACAGACATAAAACAAGAAAGTAGGGGTGATTTTGCTGGGGAAATAAGAAAGGCACAACATAGTGTTTAATTGTCTGTAAATCTTTGTTTAAAAAAAGTTAAATTCTGGTGATTTACACAAGAGCAGTCAGTGTCCACGAGGAAGTCCCTGGAGGGACGAGACGCATAAGACTACAGAACTGACAACAATTCCATGCTTTTCACTTCTACATATGCGGTTTTAAAATTACATGTAAGCAAATAAATTTGTTGTTTATTTTTAAATTTGCACTACAATTTTTGCACTTTCCCATAAATGATCCTGAGACTGTCCAGGTCCTGAAGCAAGAGAGTGAACTCTTTAAAGATGATCTGAAAGCTTGAAGTTGGCATTAAGTGTGAGTGGCCAATTGAACTTTTTGTTGTGCCTTTCATATTTCCCCCAGCAAAATCACCCCTACTTTCTTGTTTTATGTCAAAGGTGAAAAAAACCAAAAACCATTGCTTCCAGCTTCATATAATATAAAACATAGCTGTTATTTAAGTGTCCACGTATAAATAATGTGACCAATCAAAACGCAAATATATACAGCACATATCTTCCTCGAGAAAACAATGCAAGAAAGATAGGTCTTTAAAAACCAGCTTATCAACTGCAGAATCTGTTTGCGCTATATAGATACCTGCTAATAATAATAATAATGAGTACTATTGGCAGGCTGAGTCCTATTGTGTTTGCTGTTCTTTGATACATGGGTTCCTGTAGCTGGCAAGTTTGTTTATTTTATAGCTCCTGATACTATGGTCTCTAAATATCCAGTCGTGTGTGTGCCAGTCATAGAAGCGGCCTGATTACTGACACTGGTTGAGAGCTGTGTTACATTGCATTTCAAACCAGTAGTCCTCTAATTCCACCTACCTGTCCACTTCTTCCTTACTCATTGAAGCAAATGTAAAGCACTCTGTGACTCCATTGATTGCCAGCAGGAGCACATAGAGACAGTAGAAGCGCAGCAGAACTGGGCCTAGGAAAAATCAGACAGTGTGAGATTAGAACACACTATAATACCAAGCTCTACATGGATTTTTAGATTTTGGATTGTCAGACACAGTAAAATCAGACTCTGCCAGGGGTATTTGCTAAAGTGTGAATTGTTGGGAGTTCAAAGTGAATTTGTCATTTCAGGTTAAAATAGACCAAGTGGATTCAACGTCAGCTATGCTTTCAGTTCAGTTTGGCTAAAACGTTCAAATTCAAATTCTTTGTAATTGTGGACTAATAACATTGTTGAATAACCCTGTGCCTGTTTCCTTTTCGTGCCATGTGCTAGCAAGTTCGGACATCACAGCTAAATGCTAGCGATTGAAACTCTGACATACCAAGTGGTCTTACAATGGTCATTAGAACAACGCTCTATTTACCATATGTGAAAATTGTGCATGCTGGAGACATGGCATTTGGATAAAGATGGGGGGAACCGTGGCTTATCATACTCCTATATAGTTTCATTAAAAACTTTTTGGCACCTAGCTATTCGCTACCTGACAGACTTCAACTTCTAGACCAGAACAAGCGCTATGCTAATGAGACCAAAACGGTTATATACTGACACGCACAGTCACACATGCAGATACAGACAGGCATACATGCAGGCATATGGAACTTATGTAGTGGTTTCAGTTTGCAATCCCTCAGAATCTATACCGATTGCTCCCCAGCTCTTAATGTTTACTGCTGATGCTGGAATTCTGTTCTACCTATCTGGCCCATACCACACAATGTCACATCCCAGCTCCTAGCATAAGTGTGGAGCATGGGACACCTTACACCATGAAAAGTCCACTAGTTCCAACAAGTATTGTGCCTGCATGTATGGCAGCCTGTATGACTACAGAATAACCTACCAGAACCTCTGCTTAGCATGGATCCACCATAAATATCCAGTGCAAGCTGTGAATATGCATATCCAAATGCAAGAATGATCAGTCCAATTAGTGTCACTAATTTTAGCAGGGATTCTAGAACCTCAGATGCTGCAGAGACCTCCTCCTGTCAAAACAAAGTGTGAGTAAATGTATAAAATTAGTTTAGGAAGCATTTTATATCAAATATGCATGTACAAAGAGGGTTATTCACTAAATGCCAAATTTGTTTTAATATTCTGTGTAACTTGATGAATTCCATTTGTCTATAATATCAAAATTTACACTGAAATTGTACCCAAAATATTAACCTTTTAATAGTTCTATTAAAAGATTTTAACAGTTTTGTAACTTTTCCACCTAGTCAACATAGTTAATCATAGCATACTTGGATCTGGTGCTTGGAATGTCACGTTTCTTTAAAAAAACCAAACCATATAACTGAGTGTAAGGCATTCCATGTGACACGCATGTGCTTACAAGTAGTTGGATGGCTCATAGGGGAAATGATACACGATTAAATAACATCAGTGGATGTGGCGTGGAGCCTGGGTGCCAGAGACTAATTTGAAACTAACAAGAACATCCTGGATGTAAAAGATAAGTGTGAAAGTTTCTTGTACTGTAAAGCAATAGACAGTAGTGTTTATGGTTCTTGGAATGTCCCTTTAATGGATGCTTGCTCTTAAAAGTAGATACAGGCCCACCTTTTGTTGACTCTTGACAGTTTTTCCACGCTCCAGCACCTTTGAAAAATATACATAGAAGCTTTCCTCTATGGGTAGAAAGATGAATCGTGCCACAAGTGAGCCAAGATTGTTCACAATATCATACACTCCTAAAGTAAGAGAGTGAATAAACGTGAATCAGCTTATTAGAATTCCAACAACCTGTTCCTATCACAAACTAACAAATACCCTTTTCATTTTCTACTAATAACATTACATCAAACATCATCATTGCCAGGTGTGCATGTGTGTGTCTGTGAGTCGCATTCCATAGCAGTTAGAATGGCAGCAAAAAGTAAAGCTATGGGTCTCCAATTGAGGTTTAACAGTTCAATAAAATATTTGTTTGCAGAAAAGGAAAAAGAGAATTAAAGGAACACACCAAGCACCATAACCACTACAGCCTACTGTGATGGTTTACCATCCCACAGTAAGCAGTCATAACTCCAGGTGCCCGGGCCAATCCAGGACTGAGCTCACTGCTTGGATTGTTCATTTCAATTAATGATAGCTAGACAGGTCACACATGTTTTTGTCAGGGTATCTGCTTTTTTTTCTTCACCAGATGGGAGTCATTTGTCAGGTTAATGTTTAGATGATATTAATTTTCTTCCTGATAATTTTCTTTCATGTTGGCCCTTTGGGCAATACATTGAATGTGACTTTTTCTCCTCCCCCTATATTTATAAATGTGTAATCTTTTTTGTGGTTGACAAGGATTTTCCACCAGTTTTAATGGGTCGTAGGATGTGAAAATTCATTTCTTCCTTCAGTCATTTCAATTTCAAACATTTGAAATGTTTATTAGCCCTATTCAGTAAGAAATATGTTTCTGACACCAGACACGGAAGTGGCACCCCAACAAGACCACACCTTGACGCATGACACACACACAACCACCACCTACACACATTAAGGCACAGCGACTAGCACAGAGGGGACACTCGTAGCAAACACACAGCACAAAACTTCCTGACGGACCCTCGACCTCCAAACGCCCCACTCCTCGACAACTGCTCCCCGCCCCCCACCCCAACGGATCTTGAACAGGCCTACCTGACAGAGATCCCAGAACCGTGTTTTCCTGCTGCCCACACACCCCCTCCACCCACCTCTGCACGCCGTACTCGGCTTGCCAAATCAGAAAACTGGCCCGACACACCACCAACAACCCAGGAGCCACTGAACACACGAAGAGTGGTTGCCATCCAATACTCACCCCATCCAGCAGGCTAGCTGTACTAAGAGAATGCACCACATAGCTCAAAATTCCTACTGTATAATCTACAATGCGACCTATGTCCTTAAATAGACCACAACAAAGCTGTACACTTTACTGACCTGTCTGACAAGGCTAGGTGACGTGCCATGAATGCTATTGTATTGCCGTTAGATGCCTGTCATATATTAACAACAATATCTGCCTTTACAACTCAACCCCCGAACTGCCCTTCACCTGCTGACGGTGACATTCCAACATGATTGCTTAAAACTGTTAACCAAATGTCTGAACTATCTGGCCGCTGGCAGCAGCAGAAGCAAACGGCCAAATAGGTGAAAACCTATGTATCACTGTCCTATTATACTGAGACCTGCGAGTCTCCTGTATACCTTCACTGTAATGCTGTTCTACTGTAACTGTAATTACAACTTTTTGCCTTAATAAAGCCTTGAAATGAAAAAAAAAAAAAAGAAATATGTGGAAACAATCCAATGCCATTGCCAAACATACACAATAGCATTGACCCTTATGCACACTGGGGTTATCCTTTAAACCAGGAAGAACTGACAATGGAACTGCAAAAGCTAGTCCAAAAAGCCAAATTGAAAACATATTACCATTTGCCAGTTGAGCTTGTTTTGTCTACAATTTGTGGTTCCTCTGTCAGCTCTCCTGTGTTCAAGGTTTAATGAATATCTACACCTATATAAGCTCTCCTCCTAGATCTGCTAAACATTCTGTAAGCACAAGAACAAAATAAGAATGTAGCGCTTATGTAAAATACGAAATACGTATTAATCATCTTTTTAGCTGTTTGGAGAAGATTCACCCTAATAAGCCAAACATATGGATGCCTATAAAAAAAAACAATCAGACATAGTGTAGATCATACATGGTAAAATAATATATATTAATTCCAGTATATGTACACTCACAATCAGAGAGCTATAGACCCAGCTCTGGTTTGGATCGTTTCTGGGTCCATACAGGTGACCCACCCCTATTCCCAATATGGATCTTTTCCAGCAATACTGTGCAATCGGTTGTGCCTCTATTTTTCCCTATAGAACAAGAACCATATTGGGAATAGGGGTGGGTCACCTGTATGGACCCAGAAACGATCCAAACCAGAGCTGGGTCTATAGCTCTCTGTTTGTGAGTGTACATATACTGGAATTAATATATATTATTTTACCATATATGATGTACACTATGTCTGTTTTTTTTTATAGGCATCCATATGTTTGGCTTGTTAGGGTGAATCTTCTCCAAACAGCTAAAAAGGTGATTAGTACGTATTTCACATAAGAGCTACATTCGTATTTTGTTCTTATCCTGTATTTGTGATATTGTAAGGAATCACTTGAATGTTCAGCAGCTAACTAAATCTATTCACAAAGTGGTATATTGCTATTTAAACACATAAGCGCTGGTTCCGTTTTATACATTGTTACATTCTGTAAGCATAAGCTTTCTATTTGCTGCCCTTGTAGCCATTATTAGATTTCACTTGCCATTATCTTGTGCCAGGCTAAGATCATAGCACAGTTGGATCTTGTACAGTTTTTCACTAAAGTGTGAATTCAAAGTGAATTTCAAGGCCAAATTAGCCAAAAATGGAAGCCTAGCTAACTTGTAAAATGTTTCAAGTTTGTCAGTTTTTATTTTGAATTTGAAATTCAATTTGGGTTCAATTTCAATCGTCACTTTAGTAAATAAGCCTGTTGGTGTCGGACAATGTTTAACTCTTAAGAACCAGATGTAGACAATGAGCAAGTAAATGGTCCATAAGTGGTTAAAATACAGCTGATGGCCAACTACTTTTAAACATCGGAAAACTAAAAAATAAAATCATGATTATCATTATTATCATCATCAGTGTCACTATGATAACAATACAGCTAATACATTCCAAAATGATTGGTCTTTTATAAATGGCCTTTACTTACCCTGATCTCCAAATGACAGCACATTCAGAAAAGTCATTACATAACGTTCACCTGCACAATTTAGGAAGAAGAAAAAAAAAGCTTAATAGATCAAATATATCCATGAACAATGATTCCTGACATTCTTGGTTGCCATTTAATTGCTGCCTTGCTCTGTTTTTTTTCCATTCCCTGTATAATGGATGTGATTGTAGGTATTTCTTGACGATTACAATTGGCTTCCAGAATTTATCACAATTTCTTTGATGGACAGACAAAGAAAGCTAATTGAAAGGGTTGCTACTTTGTTTACAGATATCGAGCTGCTCATATGCAGAACCCAGCACCACACCATCTTAACAATTTAATGATGTAGGCATCATACGAACTCTCAGAATGGAAATTAGTTCTTAAAGTTTTATAGCCAGGGGAGACAAACAGTCATCTGCTGTCATGTAACTACAGCTCTCAAAAAGCTCAGCCACCCACAGGAAAGAAAAGCTTTAAATTAGTTCTAAATTTTCTATGGCTGGAGAATCCATCTAATGGCTTATCTTGCCTTAGCCTAAATTTATGAAGACAATAACTGCAGGCATTTCGTCATGGCTGAACATTATTCTACTTCGAAGTACAAACGTGCAGATTCAGGCTAATGAAATTCTATACATGTTATATGCATGCAAAATGGCATGCATATATGTAATGCAGGAAAGGTTTGTTTTTAAGAATCAATATTGGAAGACATTAAAATACTACTAACTATCTGCCTATAGGGCTTGGGCAGGGAGGGCTAATGTATAGCTACAGATAGACCTGTACAGACCTGAATTTCCTGCGTAACAATTTAATATTTCCTACTCAGTTTTGGGATGTGAAAGAGTTCATTTATTTATGTGTTACACTTCCTTGTCTAATAAAAACTATGTGCAGGAGCTTGTTCACACTGGGAACACTTTGTTTTAATCCACATTAAAAAAAAAAAAAAAAAAATATATTATATATATAAAATATACTTCCTGTAAGAACCCTTTCCTCTGAGCCATGCATCTTCTTTTCACAAAACATCTTCCTTTCTGGATGGTACATACTGTAGTAATGAGACCATTGTTAGCTGATTTGCTGACTAGACTACACCCCACAGCCAATCTATATCCTCTTATTAACTATATAGAATTTTAAAATCACGCTAAGCAGAAAGGTGGCTGATAATGCAAATACAGTGAGTGGCTGGGGGACAGTCTCGTCAGGAGCCCAGCTCTCACGGATTTCTCATAGGCTGAGCTGAGTACATGCCCCGGATACTTGCAATCATGAAGATGTTTTATAAAACGGGAAGAGGGCAGGATTAAATATGCAATCTTTATTTATTTCCGAGAAAAAAAGAGATTTAAATATGGAGAAAATGCAGCATAAACTCAAAGTCAAAATCCGTCAAATGAACTTAATGTTGAGGTGCCCAGAATTTTCCTGGAGCGATAGTTACCTTCTGTCAGTATCTGCTTAAGGAAAGACTGCTTGAAAAAGCTCAGTGCCAGCCATGCCTGTTTCCAATCTAGGAAGTCCTGTAAGATAAGTAAAACATTTCAGTCTTACTATAAGAGAGATCTATTAACATGTGTCTGCTTCAAATCCTGGTGTGTAGCACTGTTCGACCATTGCAGGAGTGCTCTGACTTTATACATGGTTCAGTAAAGAGGTGTGAATGGAGAAGACATTGACTCCAGATGAAACTAAAGCTAAAAACCTTAAAAAGGACTTAAATAGCCCCTGAGGGATTTTTAATTTTTCTACATACCTTCTAGCAACATCATTTATCCCACTATTTCATAAGCCACCAAATAGGCAGCATCTCATTTAAAATGGTATCTGGTCTCCATAATATATAACATTTTACTCAGACTGGTTTCCATCTCAAGTCCCATTGTGAATAGAAATTGTCAAACATTAATCACAATCAGCAAAGATATGGACTGAACTCTATCCTCCATGGTCTTGGTTGGTGCTCATTCAAACCAGAGTTGGCAAGTGTCCAATAATTCAGGAGTCACAAGAAAAGTTCAGACACACAACTGCTGGTATTTTTTTTTTTTTGGTTAATAAACAAACATACATTAATTCATTTTGCTCTCACTAGACACCAAAACATAATTGCAGGATACCAGCGGCTGTGTGCCTGAACCTTTCTTGTTATTAGAGATTGGCAAACAGACTTAGCTGCTGATTTCTCTGATCGTAGTCCAAGATATACCAACTGACCCATTAGTCGGTTATAAAAAATAAATTCCAATAAAATGTTAGTTCTGTAGTCCAACATATAAAGCTAATTACTGATTTCCCCATAATTGCCTTGTCAAGAAACAGAAGTCATCCTTATTGACCCAGTTTCTACTTGCAGGGAAATCCTGGATACCAACATACTGGAAGAAAACAGATCCACCATCTCTTACTGAGATTCATATATTGGAGAGATATGGTCACATGCTCCAGATCCCCCTACAGACAATATTCCCTCACATGGGGCCTAGTTCATATCATGTTGGATAAGAATTGATGATTTTTTTTAAACAAATAATAGAATTTTTTAAAAAAAAACAAAAAAATTTTTTATTCCTTTTAATTTAAAATCAGATGTTTTTGATTTAATTTAAAACCAAAAAATTATTTTGGATGAAAAATCTGTCTATCTAAAGATAATTTTTTATTTAAGATACATTATAGACCAAAGGTTATTCAGCATGGAATACTGAAAATTAGTTATATAGCATGAGGCTGTATATGAATGCAATATTTACATATTTGGTAAATTAATTCCATCAATTGAACTTTCAGAGATATCATGCACTGTTTCCACACTTAAACGTTACAAAATAAACATAAAACATTCAGAAAAATACCTTAATTGTAATTCACACAATAAATACCTTTATCTTATATTGGCACTGTCATCCCACATCCATGAAGGAAAAAAAAAATATATCTGCTAAAGATAGAATCTAACAGCAATATATGTATAAATGTTATATTTGTATCAAATGCCTGATCTAAAAGAACTGCCTAGAATTTGCAACAAATTACCTGTGATTCCATTTGCACAGCTTGTAAGTACACACAGCCCAATACATCTTTCTGAGAAAGAGACCAGGGATTTAAAGGACTACTATAGGCACCCAGACCACTTCAGCTTAAAGGACCACTATAGTGCCAGGAAAACATACTCGTTTTCCTGGCACTATAGTGCCCTGAGGGTGCCCCCACCCTCAGGGACCCCCTCCCGCCCGGCTCTGGAAGGGGAAAGGGGTAAAAACTAACCTTTTTCCAGCGCTGGGCGGAGAGCTCTCCTCCTTCTCTCCTCCGTTCCTCCTCCTGGGCTGAATGCGCAGCGCGGCAAGGCTGCGCGCGCATTCAGCCCGTCATAAAGCATTTACAATGCTTTCTATGGGCGCTTGCGTGCTCTCACTGTGAAAATCACAGTGAGCAAGCGCCTCTAGTGGCTGTCAATGAGACAGCCACTAGAGGATTATAAACATAGCAGTTTCTCTGAAACTGCTATGTTTATAAAAAAATGGGTTAACCCTAGCTGGACCTGGCACCCAGACCACTTCATTAAGCTGAAGTGGTCTGGGTGCCTAGAGTGGTCCTTTAATAAAGCGGTGTGGGTGCCAGGTCCCTCTAGGATTAACCCTTTCTGCTGTAAACACTTTTTGTTTACATATGGGTTAATCCAGCCTCTAGTGGCTGTCTCATTGCCGTGCATGCGCATTCAGCCGATGACAGGAAAGGAGGAGGAGAGTCCCTAGCGCCGAGGGAGCCCGAGCCTGGAAAAAAGGTAAGGGATTAACTCCTTCCTCCCCCTAGAGCCCGGCAGGGGGTGGGGGTCCAGAGGGTGAGGGGACCCAAGGACCCCATAGAGCCAGGAAAACGAGTATGATTTCCTGGCACTATAGTGGTCTTTTAAGCGTGCCAGGTCTAAATACAAGAGGTCAGTCAGAGTGTAACAAAGGACACAAATTTAGATATTTGGTATTCAATTGGGTTAGTTGATTACTGTGTATGGACGCACTTATATGGAGTCTTAATTATTAATGCTGTCGTGGACATTTAGAATACTTTTCTTTTGACACATGGCATTATAAATAAGTTTCATTAATTTGCTATTTTGAATTACAAAAAAATAAAAACACACACGCGCAGATGCTGTTTCTTGGAGTACAGGTACCTGATATGCTGAATACTGAGGAAAGAAATCCCTCATCTTCGTAAAAGGGAAAGATTTTTTCTTTGCTTCTGGGGAGTCCAGGAATCGTGCAAAATAAAGAATGTAACACAGAGCAAGAATGCTTGTATATATGATCTGTGGCAGATAAAACACAGGGGTGGATAAGAAAAGGATCAGTTAGAAGGAAAAAGATTAAGCAGAATTGTCAATTCTCTCTGTAAGGGGCAGTTTCTTGTTTTCTCACCCATAACAGCTACTGCCATTACTGGGGTGAGTATTACAAAGGGGTAACTCCTTTGATGGTGTCCACTGGCATGGTCCAATTCACTGCTCCTCGTAGAGGAATTATTGCTTTGCTATGAGCTTTTGCGTCACGTGACAGACTTGTACTTGGTCAGTGCAGCTCAAACAAATATTCAGTGCCACCATATGGCCAATACTACGTTACAGGCTTACCCCAATATCGGTGTATCCGACACTAATTTTCCATTAATTAATCTCTTATGTTGAAATTAGTGTAGGACCCACCGACAATGTGGTACAGTGACACAGTGGTGGGCTTAACATGATACAACCACATGGTAAAACTGAATCCCCATATTCGTTATATATTTTGGTTTTTATAACAGCACCACTAATTAGATATGGACATGTGCCCAATTCCCTTCTTTTCGGTGTAAGATTTGTCATCCAGGCCATATTCCTATTGAGCTGAGAACCCCACCCATCTTCTATAGGTGCCCTTTTGGAGGCGACCACAGGAAAGCATAAATTGTGGAGAGACTCTAGAAGCAGTTTCGGCAGTAAATATTGCAGTTAGCATGTAAATCTACCATGTTAGAATTAGTGTAAGACCCACCGATATTGGGGTACAGTGACGTGCTTAATACAATATGACCATATGGTGTAACTGAACCCCTATATTTGTTTGCTAAGATAGGTGATTTTAAGCAGCCTTGTAGAATGTAAAACTGTATTTTTTTCTTCTGTGTGCGCTGTCCCCTAATCTGTATTTTGTATATATTTCGGTCTTTACGGCAGAACCACTACTTATGTATATTCTGAGTGTGCCCTAATTCCCTTTTTCTGTGTAAGAAATATTAAATATCTGACTTGTAATAAACTGATTTGTACAGATTTGTTTTATTTTTGTATACCTTGCACTCATTCAAAACTGATAACCAGAGGTGATGTGTTCTATCCAGGTAATCTATTCACAGTAATATCACCTATGTGAACTCTCTGTATGAGTCAATTTGTCAACAATATTATTTAGAAGGATGTCTAACATGACAAATTCTTTAAATATTCTCCAAATTTACCTGGGCCAGTGAGAAAATGATCAATCCCCAGTGGGGACAGAAAAGAACCAATATTACTGTGATGGAGCAACGGATAATTATTGCAAGGCTTTCAGTAACAACCTAGAAATAAGACATACACAGAAAACATAAATAGATTAAAAAGAAAGATCATTAAATTTTCGAATTCTCATTAATTTAACTGTACATTTACATGGTATAATTTAAATTAAATGTCATTTAAATTCAAAATTGAAAGACAGATTTACTAAAAATTGCATATTTACTGTATCTTAATTAAATTTCCTTGTATTATATTTGCATTACATTTGTAGCGCGACTATGAGAATTCGTCAACCCGTGGTACCAGTAGAATGGTTGAAACATTATGGCAATTGTTATTAGGTTAATAATACAGCAAAGAATATCACACTTGGGTTTTAAGAAATATCACTTTGCATTTCTGTAAGCTGACATTTGTAAGAGTCTGGAGTTGGCCTTTTACAGGACGTCATGCCAGCTATGTCTCTAATGTCTGTGAGATACATATATTTACATCAGTATCAGTACCAGTACCCTCTAGCAGGTAAGCTAATTGAGCAGGGCTATCAACCCCTCTGTTTCTGTGCGTCAAACTTGTCTGGTTAAAATTGGATGTTTGTTAGTCCAACCATTGTAAAGCACAACAGAATTTGTTGACGCTATATAAATGTAGTAATAATAATAATCATTGGTAGATTGTCTAGTGCTTTGAATTAATTTGATACAAGAGCATAACAAAATTAACTTGCTTTATATGGTACATTATCACCAACTATGTAACAGGAACAGGCTGCCTGGTACCTGATTTGGGTCCAGACCTGAAGCTTCTAATAAGTCCGTCCCTTCTCTGTGCCATCAGGGACCTCCAGGAGTGACCAGAGCAAACTGGAACATTACAGCTACATGCCAAGCAGCCTGATTTTTTTTAAAGGAACACTATAGTCACCTAAACAACTTTAGCTGCACGAAGCAGTTTGTGTGTGTAGATCATACTTCTCAGGTTTCAAGTCTCATTTTACTGTCATTTATGAGTTAATTAACTTTGTTTCTGTTTATGCAGCCCTTGTCACACCTCCCCTGGCTCTGACTGACACAACTTGCATGAAAAAAAAAACTGGTTTCACTTACAATTGTTTAAGGTAAATTACATCTGATTGAATCTCTTTCTCTGTAAATTGAACTTTAAATCACATACAAGAGGCTCTTGCAGGGTCTAGCAAGCTATTAACATAGCAGGGGATAAGAAAATCTAAATTATACAGAACTTGCAATAAAGGAAGGATAAACTGTAGATGACTATTTGCAGGAAGTGTTTAGTAAGGCTGTGCAAGTCACATGCAGGGAGGTGTGACTAGGGTTCATAAACAATGTGATTTAACTCCTAAATGGAAGAGAATTGAGCAGTGAGACTGAAGGGGCATGATCTATACATCAAAACTGCTTCATTAAGCTAAAGTTGTTTTAGTGACTATAGTGTCCCTTTAATTATATTGGCCAATCATCAACCAGATACTGGATAAAGTGATGAATAACTATTCCCAAGTATACCAAAAAACTAGACAAGATTGAGTGCAGGGACAAGTAAATATTGGTTTGTTGAAAAACAAGCATTACAAAACATGTAAAACAGTGAGAGTACCTGGTGATGGACTGCAGTGACACAGTGGGGACCAATCAGAGTGCTGGGCACAAACATGCCCTATATATTGCAGTGTCCAAAGATTGATGCCTGGCAAGCTCAGCTTAGTTTTTTATCCTTCAAGGAAGGATTCAAAATATCTTCTAGCCACTAGCCTTGGCGAGTGAAAATGTAGCCCCGACTGAGTAGAAATTTCACCCATGGTGAATGTACCATGGATCCTCCAGGCTTGCAGTTGCAAGTATCTTTTATGGCCTGGCTAGTAGTACAGCTCTGCTTCAAGGTATCTAAAATGTGCACCATTTTGTTGGTTAATAAGAGAATCAGTATCTCAGGATAAGTAACTATGGTCCTATTGATAAAATACTTTTGATATTATTGTTATTAGTATATTATTATTAAGAGCTACCACATCATCATAATTGCCATAAATGCAATCAGGCTGAAGCCTTTTGATTTTCTTCCTTACCTTGGGCCATGCATTCACAAAAGGAGAGAAAACAATGAAAAAAGGCTGCGCCACACAAAATGAATATAATAGGATAACAATAGTATATCCCAATAAAAAGTCTTAACTTGACAGTTCTTTCTTTAGGTCAAATGGTCTGTAACGTGCTTGGTCAGGGATAGTGTCCACGTGGGCCTTCCCTGGAAGGATCCATTAATATGCAAAGACAAAAGATAGAACCAAAATAGTGCAATATATCCAATAGCCTTTTTTCTTTGTTTTCAGGGTACTTTGAGGGATTCCCTTTGTGGTTGCTGCCTTATCCATTACTCTCTATTTTACCATGCATTCACAAAGACACGGTGCAAACACTTTCTATGAAGGTGGAGACACACAATGAAATTGGCCCTCTCTATGGTGAAACAAAATAAAGCTGGCCTAGACAACTGACTTGACACGTTTGAGAAGAAGCAACAGATCTTACATGAAGGGCAGATGCAGTTGAAGATGTGGTGACTGGATGCCTCACCTGGATACCTTAGCCTAACAGATTAACAGGTCCTTCTATCCACAGGTAACACATGAGAAGCCCTCAGACACATTGATTTATTTAGCCATTTTAATATCCAGTCTTATACCTATCACTATATAGATATGATCTAAGAAGTTGCAGGCGTTACCTGTTTTACAACTTCACCAGCTGTGGGACACAGATATTGGGAATGATATGGCCAGAGGTCCAAGTAGGACTGATACTAAGATGGCATATGTGTTGCCCCATCCTTTTCATCTGAAGAGCATGTGCACCAGACATCTTTTCTCCATCTAACCTTTATCATCCACCCTCAGACAAGGATTATACAATTCCCATGAAGAGCTACAAACACTTGGAGGTCGCATTATGACCGTGGATAGAAGATGTGAGTGATTTTAGCCAATATTGCAGATATACAACTACCACTATGCCCCACATTCAGAGGAAATGCCCGCCTGCCAGGTCAAGGCAAACCTCTCAAGTGGGTTCTTCACTGACCTGTCACCTTGCTTCTTTGAGCTTCTGGCAAAGATTTCTCTAATGAGACAGAGATGGGTATTTTTTATATACACCCCTATATACTGGTTAACACTTAATAGGCAACACCTGGGATTGGCGGCAGCATTGTAGCATAGTTGTGTAATACAAAAAGTGAATACAAATACAAAAAAAAAAAAACAAGTCCTGCACTGTAACATTCTCTTGTTCCCCTTCCAATGCACAACGCTAGTGAACAATTTCTATTTATAATATAAATTCTTAACAAATGCTTAACATCTCTGACTGATGGGCAAAATGCTGTATAGCTTAAGAATTAAAAATTGTTCCCGTGGTCCCAGTATTACTATCCCAAGTTTAGCATTTTTGACCATCTGACCCTTATGAGGGGGAAAAAGGGAGTAGGGGAAACACCTCCCATCCCCTCCACGAAGTGCATTAAATGTTGCGTCAGATGTCTGTCTACATTCAGATTGTGGGCAATATGCGTCTCATCCAGGTTTCAGATTGTGGGCAATATGCGTAAACAACATTTTTTACACTCCAAAATGGTAGAGAATTGAGCAGTGAGACTGTAGGGCATGAGCTATACACCCAAACTGCTTAATTAAGCTAAAGCTGATTTAGTGCCTAATAGTGCCCCTTTAATCAGTTTGACACGCGAGCTACAAGTCTTTTTCACTAGGTGTAACTGTTTTATGTGACGTTTTAGTACTGCCTGGGGAGGGCTGAGCAGGGAGGAAATAGTATAGACAGAATTGTGGGATGCAGCTTTACAGCACTATACTAGAAATGATCTATACATCAAAACTGCTTCAAAAAGCTAAAGTTGCTTTGGTGACTATAGTGTTCCTTTAACTGAATTTGATAAGCTACACTGATTACCATCTTTTTTTTTCCAGTGATTTAAACATATATAGGATGTACCATAGAACAAATTTCAACACCAACCTTAAGCCGGATAAAGAGATGTGCCTGAGCAAGGACCCAGAATGGTTCTGATAGAAGCTCTATTACTGCAGAAAGTCCAAATGCCAAAACTCCTGTGGTGTAATGTGGGATAACCTCTGGTTTTGGAATCTCCAGGACATGCAGCCAAATCCAACCCAAGACTAAAAACCAACCAATTCCCAGAGGAACCCTAAAACATTTCAGAGAAATTACACTAAATTATTAAATCAAATAAGTAAATCTGACTGTTAACCAATATAGATCTTTGCTACTATTACTTAATACATTAAAGGGGAACATTGCTGTGTTAGGACTGAACCTAACTGTGATGTCAATGAAATACTTTAATATATATTTAAAAGAAAACCGAGCATAACATGAAAAATGTTAACCAATTTTGGAATTCCATGTCATTATCACAACATGGGCTATCCTCCTTATTTGACACTGGTAACTCAGTAAAGCCCTACAATCATTATATATGTAAAACTTTCCATTTTGGAATAGGATCCTTAAAAACGTATTGTTATGATGGCCCTTAAAGGGTTATTCTAAACCTTATGCAGGGAAGAAACGTTTGTAGAATTACATTAAATAATCATTTTAAAGGCAGGGTAAGCCTTTTTCTTCCTTACCTCCGTGCGCTCCCTCCCCACATTTACATATACATATTTTTATATTATTATAATATTGTTATAAATATATTTAATTATTTTTAGATTCCCTCCTTTCCCCAGCTCAGAGCGCATAATTGGAGTAACCCTTTAAAAAACTGGACGCAAGTGCATGTTACATTTGTGATGCTTTGATATGCTCTTGCCTGTTGTAAAATAAATAAAAAAAATTTAAAAAATAGTATGTGCAGTCTTACAGCACCATAAAGATTAGCCGTTGTAATTTTCTTTTTATATACTCTAATTATTTTCACTTATGAATTTACAATTCTTACGCCAGCCAGGTGAGATGAACTGTGTGTCGCCAACTTTGCTGTGACGAGTGACTGAGGCAAGCTCTACGGAAAGCTTCTCGGGCAAGAAATACCACTGTGGTATAAAGCAGGGTTAGCCTGAAAGATAATCAAAACTCAGAATTAAAGCATTAAACTTTTTTTTTTTATAAAAGACATCCGTTTCTTTTTGACAAGCTGCCACATGACTGATAAATAGCAGCCTCAGTAACATTATGTTTTAAACTTAATTAAAATATGTAACAGGATGCTTGGAGTACAACGGCTATTCAAAGTAATGTAATTGAAGACAATATGGAAAGCAGTGATTTAAGAAGAAGGGTGTGGGAACAAATTGTACCTTCCACGAAGTCAAACTGGACCTAAATTTCCACATTAACACACAAGTACAAAAACAATATACAGAAATCAAAAGACCAAAACTAGGGGAGATGGACTAAACAGTTAATAAAAGAAGATATGCATATTCTAATAACACATACGTTAATAAGAGAAAAAAAAAAACATTATAAAACACAGTGACAAATATTAGCACACAACAGGTTGGCACAAATGGTCATATTACTATTAAAAGGCAGGAATGTTTGTGTTCTGCATTTTTCCACTGCAATACTGCATTGTTCTACGCAATTTATTAAAAAACACTTTTGACACAAAAACCCGTGTTTTGACACAAAATCTGTGTTGCACTATTTAATGTGACAGTAATAATTTTGGTTTGTGCCAGTTGTTTTTTAGTAGAGAAATGGGATTCAAGTAGAGGTGCATGTGTACATAGCTTAATAGGGCGCTACTTTTAATCTTGCAAAGCAAGCCATCTAAAGCATACACGTCATGAACAACGTCACACAGAATAGGGGATTAAAATGACGAGCAGTCGACTCTTCCTGAATTTCCCTAATAAATCTGTAAACCTATAAATATGTGTCCTCCCCAGAAATCAGGAGGTCGTCGTCTTAATCAATCCTGGTTCTACCATCATTCTCATTGGAGATGCTGGAACATCCAATAAACCCGCATGCAGATGTTTAGGTGATATACAGGTCTGACTTGGCAGTAGATTTAAATTTTTTTAAAAGGCATTAATAAAACGAGTCAACAGAAGCCAAACTCTGTAATTATATCTAATAGCCAGACAGCATATATTAAATGGTTACTCCAAGCACCATGACCATGTTAGTGTTTTTTGAACTGGTCATGGTGTAAGCATGCTATATTGTATAAAATGCTGCAAATACTATCTAGCTATAGGAGGTGTGACTCAAAGCAGCTTTTATTATTTCATGCACAGGAGCTCATTCCCTGGCTGAGAGTACACAGCAATAATATCATTCAGCTGCCATTTATTGTAAAACTGTTTGCTCATAGCATCATAACCACTGCAGCATGCTGTTGTGTGTATGATGCTTAGAGTAATTCTTAAAGTGCACTCAGTATAATAAATGAAATTCTTACACTGATTACAGGGAGGGGTTGCACAGTAAAACAATAAAAGATACATACCAGAGATGTCTGCTTATGGATTTAATTCAATACCAAGTAATTCCACAGAACCATATATTTTGGATGATTGTTGATCCATTGTGACACATAACAGATGCAAAATTTACAGTCAGTGTTAAAAAAGAAAGTTACACAAAATAATTGGCCACGGTCAGATCACGCAGTGACTATATTTACCTAACATTAACAATGCCAATAATTTCTTTTGAGACGTAACGCAATGTGAAAGCATTTAAACCGAAGGTTAGTAGACGGAAGAGAACCTGCAAAAACAAAACAGAGAGAATAAATCATAATTAAAATCTACTGCAGATTATCAGGACAGGCTCTGACAGCGCTGGGTTTATATTAAATGTAGGGTGAGTTCCTGGTTGCAGATAATCATACATTTGCTAGGCATCTGGACAGTATGATGTGCAGACAACATAAAATTTACAACAATTAAAGGAACACTACAATGTCAGGAATACAAACATGTATTCCTGACACTATATCTGTAAAATCATTTTTAGAACGGTAAAAGGAGATTTTTCACACCTTATGCCCAGCGCCACACGGGACTTGTCTTGGCGGACTCTGACACATTTTGACTCCTTGGTTGAGATCATCAAAATTGACAAACTTAGCCAATTTTAGGAAAGCATTGGGTGGCTATTGTGCATGTGCGGCAAATCGCCAGTCACCATCTCCTTATAGAGATGCATTGAATCAATGCATCTCTATGAGGAACGTTCAGCAGCGAATACATGCATAGCATGGAGATGCTGAACATCAATGTTGCGCACTGTGCAGCACTGACCCAGGAAGCACCTCTAGTGGCCCTCCAGAGTCTGAGTGACTGCCACTAAGGGTGTTCCTAAGCAGAAATGTAAACACTGTGTTTTCTCTGAAAAGGCAGTGTTTACATTAAAGGATCACTATAGTGTCAGGAAAACAAACTTCCTTTCCTGACACTATATCATCCTTACGTCCCCCACCCTCAGGGTTCCAATCCCTTGGCGCTGAAGGGGTTAAAACCCCCTTCAGTTACTTTAATCCAGCGCCAGGCTCCCTTGGCATTGGTGACCTCTCCTCCCCTGCCGACGTCAGCTCTCGAGTGTAGCGGAATGCGGATGCGCGGCAAGAGCCGCGCGTGCATTCGAACAGTCCATAGGATAGCATTTCTCAATGCTTTCCTATGGACGTTCTGAATGCGATTTCCGCATCCAGCGTCGCAGAAGCACCTCTAGCGGCTGTCCGGAAGACAGCCCCTGGAGGCTTGATTAACCCTTCAGATGTAAACATAGCAGTTTCTCTGAAACTGCTATGTTTGCATCTGAAGTGTTAAAACCTGGGGGACCTGGCACCCAGACCACTTCATTGAGCTGAAGTGGTCTGGGTGACTATAGTGTCCCTTTAAAAAGCCTACAGGGACAGACTATACATACCAAAACAACTACTGTAGTTGTTCTGTTGACTATAATGTCCCTATAATAATAATTATAATGATTACCTAAATAAGTATTGTTTACAGAGAAGAGTTAGGATCATGGGTTAAATTAAACTAGGAAACAAAGACGGACACCTATAAAATAAAAGATAGCTGATCCATCAATTAAAAACGCGTAGTTAGTACTTTCAAAACATGCTACGATAATGGGACTTTTGCTTCGGTGGTACTAAAATAATGATATGCACTATAACTCCCATAGACAAAGCAGGACACGTTATTGAGCAATATGGGGCTCTTAGAAATGAGGGACATTAGGATATAAACGATGGACACAGGTATTTGGGTCCCTCCTAAATAGAGACACTTGGGAGCTATGCAGTTTCTTCATTTAGAGACAATATAAAGTGCAATCACCCACAAATGAATAGAGAGAGAGATCCCCCACGTGTCAATGATGTAACCACATCAATGAGGGACACTGTGAGCAGTGAATGAATGTGTAATATACACTGAGTCCATGGACACATTAGCAGCAGGTACCTGCAGGACCATTGTAGAGGAAGCCAGTTTAGTGGTGTCTGAGAGGACATCCCGGGAAGCCATCTCGATAATGACATATAATGTGTGGAGGAGTAGCCACCTGGTCACCGGTACCGCAAGGTATACAAATCACTCTATATGATCATAACTTGCTATGACTCCTGCACCGCCATCTTGATTATGGGCAAAGAGAATGGGGAACCTTCATAACTTACACCGACAGACAGCACAGAACGCGGGTCTGTCGGACCAAGAGTTTATTATACTCGCAGTCTCCTTTTTGAGGGCCATTTGCACCACAGCCTATGTTTAATGCAAGAACATTGCCCGTAATGGATGGCACTTCCTCCTGCAACCATGGTAACGCCCTCACACCATATCGCGGAAGTAGGAGCTGTGTGGTCCATGGCTGACGCTGACGTCCAGAGCAGGGAATGGTGCCACGCGCCTCCACTACTGCCACCTTCAGTTCGGAGGATGGAACTACATTCAAACTGGTTTCTATAGCGCGTTGGCAGAGTTAGGAGACCAAGGCGGCGATTCATCAAAGTGTCCTACGCTGAAAAGTGTTGCACATTTGTATATGTGGAAATTGGAATAATCATTAATGGAATGTTCCTGCTGAATTAATTGGTTCCCGTAGTTATTATCTCACTTTTTTTTTGTTAGAAATTTGCAACACATTTAAAGGAAGTTATTAACTCCTTCAGTGCCGCGGGAGGGAGGCCTTGACAGACGGGAAAGCACTATAGTTTCCCTTTAAGTTAAGTTACCTGCATTAATACATATAAGTGAAAAGAACAAAAATGAAGGATGAGTTGAATGGAAATTGTTCTTGGGATTTCTTCATTTCCAGTTTATGTTACTTTGTAGCCAATCAGGGTTCAGCTATAAAGACAAGCAGGTCTATCTAGTAAAGTGGAAATTCAAAGTAAATATCAAATTTAAGGTCACAGTATCTAAAGTAAAAGCAATATTGACTTATAGAATTTTGCTAGTTTAGCTGTTTTGACCCTTAACCCCTTAAGGACACATGACATGTCATGATTAGAGATGTCGCGAACTGTCCGCTAACGAACAATAGCGTGTTCGCGTTGGGCGAACGTATCCGATTTCCGGTCCGCCCCCTATACCTCATCATTGAGTAAACTTTGACCCGGAACCTCACAGCCAGCAGACACATTCCACCCAATCAGCAGCAGACCCTCCCTCCCAGGAAGTGTCTGCTGACTGTGAGGTTCCGGGTCAAAGTTTACTCAATGATGACATATAGGGGGCGGACCGGAAATCAGATATGTTCGTCAACGCGAACACGCTATTGTTCGCCGGCGGACAGTTCGGCGGACAGTTCGCGACATCTCTAGTCATGATTCCCTTTTATTCCAGAAGTTTGGTCCTTAAGGGGTTAAAGGCACCCAGACTACTTCAGCTCAATTATTTAAGATTTTAATAAACTGCCATAATTACCTTTGTGGGTTATCTCCACTTCTAGGGCTGTCTTTCCTACGTGGGAATTACTAATGCGAACAGGGCCATTGCCGCACATGCGCATTAGATCTCTCCCGCCGGCTGGCGTTGGCAATGGAGGAGCGGAGGCGGAGCCCATGCCAGCGTCGAGGGACAGTGGCGCTGAAACAAGGTAAGTGACCAAAGGGGTTTTTAATCCATTCACTTTTGTAAATAAACCTGATAACGTTCTGCACTGTATAGTCCTCTGCATCATGAGTGGCATTAACAAAAAAATCCTCTAGAGGGCAGGGTGCATCTCTAAATGCAATAATGGTTATATCAAGCGAAACAAAAAGCAAACGTCAAAATAAGTAATTGGACATTTTTTTTCTCTAAGAAAGTATATTTTCTTTTATAGGAGTAAAAAAAAATATCAAAGGTTACCAAAAGATTCTTCCATGATATTCTATAGGTTTGTCTATTCTATCACAGGCATGTGATGTTTACGTGGCCCATACTATTATAGGCTTGTAAAGTGTAGTTCTGCATATTTTAATTGTGTAATGATACCTGTTAACTCCTGCAATTATTTAATAGTATCTTGTTACCAATAAGAAATCAGGAAACATGAGTAAATGGTTGATAATACACTCCATCATCATTACCCTGCACAAAATATGCTCCCAGGCTAAACAGTAATTAGAATTAACTACACATGGATGTTTAAAATATGTACTTCTCTTTATATTATTTAATTAGAGTGTGATAATCAGCCAAAATAAATTATGTATATTTGATTTTTACATCTCAGGTGAAATTGCATTATCCGTCATCCTGGTAAAGACTGATCACCAAGCTTAGATTGCCACCATTCTATGTTCTGTTGCTAATCTAAGTGCCAATCTGTAATTGAGTGCTGCTCAACTGCCACATTATCAGGAGAAGGAGGTGCATGATTTATATATGAGCAGGATCATGTGCACAATTATACATTTGAGCTTAAGTATGCCAGGTCTCCCAACTATCCTAATTTTATAACATGACAGGAGGCTTCATATTTGCTTTAGTCTCTCTTTACTAGAACTCCAGAGCAGCACAGAAAAACAACCAATCAGAGAAAAGTTAGGTACTATCAAACTCCCCTCCCCATACATCATTTCCTCTTTCTTTGCTGCTTCGCAGTAAGTACAAGTCAGAGTACCACTGCCTCCTGCTTATAGTGGGTGGCTTTGGGTTTTATTATGATTTATTTATGATTTTTTATTAATTATGCTTAGTTTTTTAAGATTTCTGTGCCTTTTGGCTCTTCTTTGCTTCCCCTGGTTTTCTTTGTGGATATTTTCTTTCCTGGAGATACCTATTCAGTTTGCTCTCCCTTTGATTTCACCCTTCCCTCCCCCCCCAGTTTATATCACAGCTTGCTGTGAGTTTTACTGACAGTGGATATCGCAGTTTGCTGTGAGTTTTGCTGCCAGTGTAAATCACAGATTTAGTTTTGCTGACAGTGTATATCTCAGATTGCTGTGAGTTTTGCTGCCAGTGTATATCACAGATTTAGTTTTGCTGACAGTGTATATCTCAGATTTAGTTTTGCTGCTAATGTATATCTCAGATTAAGCTGAAGTGGTCTGGGTGCCTAGAGTGGTCCTTTAAGCAAGGACACAGCCTGAGGTTGTATACTATTCCATCTACCAATGGTCTGGTTTATTACGAGTTGATTCCATCTCTCAAGTGAGAGATTCAGAGAGAGGTCTCATGGTCAGAGAGAGACCCACATCAGGATCTCAGTCTTGTTCTGATATTAGTAAATGGTGTACCCCACAGTTGGTCACCCTGAGTCTTTAATGGACTCTAGTTTTGGATTACAAGAGGGTGCGGCCCTCCATCGCTTCGGCCTGATATTTTTATTTTCACGAGTAGAGAGCATACCCCTCTCATAGACTGAACTGGACACTGATTCATTATTAGAGGGCGCGGCCCTCCCTCAACCTCAGCCCGTTACTGAGCTGGATACAGAGGATATGTCTTGAGAGACACATTCTCATAGAGGGAACCAGACACAAATGTAGACTCTAATGTTTGGTTATTAACGGGTGTGGCCCGCTCATGCTATCAGCCGAACGCTGACACGGAGTTCGGTCACATTATTAGAGAGTGCAGCTCTCACACATTCAACGCACTATGGTGCCGTCCATTTGTTTATCACACAGGCTTGTACCTGTACAGGACAACGATGACTGCATAGAGGGGCGTCCCTCCTGCATTCAATTAGATCTAACGACAGTGCTACCGATTTCATTATAGAGGGCTGCCTGATCATGCAGGGTATACATGTTTGGACTGGATCTCTCTTTAACCTACTATAATGGATCTACTGGATCCGGACCACTGTATCCCACGTGAGAAATACTCACAGAGGTATTACTGGGGAAGATTCCCCGCTTATTTACACACACTCCTGGAGATGGTACGGCTAACGGATGAGCCCCAGTTGTTACAAGAGTTCAGGTTTTGGTATAATCTGCGCTATATCAAACAGGCAATTGCACTCTGTTTAAGATATTCAGACCATTGCGCAGACAGGTTTTTCCCATGTCAAGGTGACATGAGATCCTGAGACCTTCATAGAGCAAACGGGCACTGCCTTGCTCGGTTAACAAGACTAGAGAAGGCCCACAACCCGGTCTGCAGATACACCGTGCGCATGGATCACATGGAAACACCGGAATCCTCTATCGGAATCTTCTCTCGTCAGTACAATCTTGGGATGAGATGACAGGACTGCCCCTACTCCTCTGAGCACATATCTGGAGAACAGGGTTTGGATATGGAGGGCCCTCCTTCTATACTCGATATCCCTCACGGGAACCGTCTTGGTTTGGGTTCTCGCTAACCCACCTATTCAACTACCATCAAGGAGACCTACTGTGGACTCTATGGAGGAACCCTGTGTGTCCCCAGCTCCTACACGGACGTCACAAGTTGGGACCTACCGCTCAGGTTGTGTCGCATGCTCGGATATGGCTGGCGACGTTCTCAAACGGGACAACACCTGCTTCGGACTGTTGAAGCTAGGCCCTTGTTTTTTAGTTATATCTGCTCTCTGGAGTCACCTGTCGTGAGTGAAGGGACTTTACGTCTTGTCTGTGTATTAGAGAACGCTATGTGTTCATGGGACTCCAAGCTAAGAAGGGAGGTATCCCTCTATAGGGAAGCATTGACTTTGGTTCTCAAATTCACATTCCTGGGTCCCTTGACCTAGGGCCTACTCTGGGAGTTACGTGCCCGGACAGTCAGGGGTCTCACTATATTATACCCTATCTCATAGGTGGTGTGTAGACCAGGAACCCATACGTGAATTTTGACAGGTCAGGCATGGAACAGGATCGTACAAACGGGCAATCGGATTATTTCACTCTTTCACTACAGCACGTGAGGGCTCTTCTTTGTTATACAGGTCCCAATCACCATTGGATCCGGACATCTTATCACTCTTAGACGATGATATATCTGGATGGAAATATCAACCCTGGTTTACGTTCCCATCCTTTTGAATATTTCCGGGATTCACAATCCCCAGAATAGTCTACCACCGTTTCACCACACAAGTTCAGTTTGGGACCTTGATTGGACGTCCTTTGGGACTCTTTTCTCTACCGCAGCCGCGGATTACAGTCCATTTGGAATACTGGAACCACTTAGGATACGGCTAGTTTTGACCACACTCTTGCCTGCATAATAAATTTATTCTCGGATGAGACAACTCACCGGGTAGGTCATGAGGGAACGAAAAGACCCTACTCGGTTCTATTACGGAATTGGGTGTGGACTTAGGCGCATTCTTTGAGGTTGGAGATTTGCCTGCAAGGCCACATCGCCTGGTCACCCTGGCAT